GGGGGGGGGGAAGGGGGAAGGGGTTCAGGATGTCTAGTGTGAGTTCCTTCCCATGCAGGCTCAACTGCCCTCCCCTGCCTTGGCTGCTTCTTTCCACCCCTCGGGAGGTCTTGTTACTGTGCTGATCCGGGAGGGCAAGGTGCGAAAAGACAGGAGGAGGAGGAGGAGGAGGAGAGATGAGCAGGAGCAGGAGAAGGAGGAAGGGGTGGAGGGGAGGAGGGGGTATAGGAGGAGGAGGAGGAGTTGGTGGTTGCAGAGGAGGAGGAGCTGAAATGATGGTTTGCAGATCCGTTTCCTCGACCTCGCCTTGCAGTCTCTTACCATCCAGAGCGATGGCAGCTATCAGGCAACTTGCTGGTTTCCGCCTGCTCTACCTGACGCTTAGCAGCACGAGTTCGATCTGCTGCTGGAGGGAGAGACTCGCAGTCAGCTGTTTGCAACGATGAGGAGCACTGAAAGCCCCCTCAAGTGGCTGCTGTCGGTGAGACCAAGGCAGGGCAGGAGCATTCGCCTGAAGGGTTGGCAGGATCTGCCGGGGGAAGGCAAGGACGCCTGGCTGGACAACGTGGAAGAGGAAGGGACGTCAGAGGTCAGATCTGCCCTCGGAGCGCCTGTCCTGCTGCTCACAGGAGGAGCAGGAGCTGGTGGTTGTGCTGGCTGGAAGGCTCTGTGGGCGGATGAGCATCGACTTGGGAAAGGTGAGGACGAAGTGAGAGCGAGGAGGAGCTGACTTTGCACCCAGTTAGCGTTCGGACGGATAGGACTGCAGGTACGAGCAGCGACGTCAAGCTCGTTTGTTGATGTCCTGCTGCTGCTGCCTCCCTCCCCCACTTCCCTCCTTGCTTGCCAGAACGTTAAATATGTGCCTGATGTTTGCTGTTCATGTTGTTGATTTCCTTATCGAGCTCGCTCGTGGTCATGCTTCACTCGTGCTGCTGATTTGCTCTCTCCTTTGGGTTTCTCGTCTGAACCTTTCGCTCTTTGGTGGCAGGAAATCTGCGCGTCGTGGATCAGAGCTGGTGAAGTCGAAAACGCAATTCGAATCATGCGTTGTAGTGAAGGTGAGGGTGCTCTGCTCCTGCCCCTGCTCCTGCTGCTCCTGCTGCTCCTAAATCTACCATGATCTCCTCTTCGTCTATCCTCCTCACCTCGATCTCCCCTCCCCCACCTTGATTGGCCTGCAGGAGGAAGGCAGAGACAAACTTGCGCGAGTTTGATTGTGAACTTTCTGCTACGAGGTTGCTGGAGGGGAGGTGTCAACTTGTTGGTTACCCTGCGATAGAGGAGAAGGCGGAGAGTTCTCGGCGAGCTGTAATCCGAGAGATCGCAACGATGGCTGAAGAAGGAGGTTGATGAAAAGCTTTTCTCACTCCGAAATGACAGCCAATAAGATGAGCGAGGGTTGAGAATGCTCTGCTCGGACGCGCTCCGCAGAAAATTCTTCCTGAGTTTGAGTCAGGTTTACTGCAAGGAGGAGGAGCGGAGGGGGGGGGGGGGGAGGACGTGAATATCTTGCAGGGCGAGTGGGAGAGCTGCGAAGAGATTGTGCGAGAGGTTGTATATACGATAGAGGGAAGACTTTCCTCGTTGACGTAGACGCAGACGAAGGACGAGCAGCTCACGGAGACCTTGTACTTCTGGGCAGGACAGGAGGGGAACGAGCAGCTGCAGGTGTGATGAGTCTTGATGATCATAACGACGACAGCGACTACAACAACGATAATGATGATGATGATGATGATGATGATGACGACGACGACGATGACGATGATGTTGATAAAATTGATGATGATGTTCATTTTTGACGATGACGATGACGATTTACGATGACGATGACAAACAATCTGCCTTCATCTCGCAGGCGCGCATGGCAGAAAGGCTCAAAGAAGGAGCGGCGGAGGTCGTGAAGCTTGGAGCGGGGCTGAAGCAAAGCACTGACGGGTGTCGGCAGGGGATGGAAGGAGGAGTGTGGGAGGAGGAGAGGGATAGGATGACGCTAAAGCCCCTCTGGGATGGAGACTTTGCGGTCTGCTGGGAGTGTCCTGGGGACTGTAGTGACTTCACGTGCAGGCTGTGTTGAGGAGCCTCAAGGGGTCTGGCTCAGCGGATGACCCCGTCCTAGCTGGGCTGCTGTTGGAGTCAAACGGGCAGTTTTCCGAGGCCATTCGTCTCTATGAGGTAGAGGGAAACTATTGCTGCTGCCGCCGCCGCCGCCGCCGCCGCCATTGTTGTTGTTAATGGTGGTAGTGGTAGTGGTTCTGAGGAACAGGTGGTGGAGGAGGAGTTGGTGGTGGAGGAGGAGGTGGAGGAGGAGTTGGTGGTGGTGGAGAGTTAGGAATGGTGACTGAGAATCGCAGGATTCTGGGCTGCAAGGCCAGCAGAGGCTCCTTGAGTCAGTTCTGCAAGAATTCCATGGTGGATTCAAAGAGTAGGATCCTTCTGAAACATCGTACTGGAAAGTCGTTTATCTCCCCTTGTCGTACGTCCATTTTTCCTCTGTTCCCCTCCTTCTATCCTTGCACTCCTTTCCGTTACCTTCGACTGCCCTGCCCCTGCCCCTGCCCCTGCCCCTGCCCCTGCCCCTGCCCCTGCTCCTGCCCCTGCCCCTGCTGCTGCTCCTCAGCATCCGTATGTCCCCCATGGCACTGGAATGAGGTGGAAACCAGCCCAGCACCAGGGGATGTCGAGGCTTATGAAGGGCTTCAACTGTTGCGTGCGAGCAAACGAGAGCTGCAAGGCCACGCGGCTCAGGGCGGAGGTGAAGGTGCCGACGAAAGCCGAGGAGCGGGCGAGAATCTCGACGTCGACCATCACCGCCATGGCATGATCGTCTTTCCTGTCAGGGTCTGCTCGGAGCAGTTTGTCCTCAATCCACTCGCAGCCGAGCTCGGCCTGCATGCTCAGCGTTCGCACCCCCTCGTTGGCGAGGTGAGCACAAGCGACAGTGTTGGAGGAGGTGAAGCTTCGATCCATCATCTGCGAGACCACGTGGAGTCCAAGGGGAGCGACCGCGCCTTCGAGCTGCAGGTTCATCAGTCTTGTTCCTCCGATCATGTCCGTCACCTCAACAACAGCATTCGGGTCGTCAGTGGCGAGGTAGACGCTCTTCAAGTCGTATCGCCCTGCCAGCTCCTGGATTGCCTCGACGTAGATCGAGAGCTCCAGGCACGGCCGCGTCTGCCCGCAAGCATCTCCTCGTCTGATCTGAGGCTCCTCTGTCAAAGAGGATGCAAGGAGCAAAGGAAGTCAGACCTGGACCCCGACGAAGGACGAAGAGAGTCCGAGCCGCTGGAGCTCCTCCTCCACACGTTGAGACACGCGGGGCCTTACGTTGAGGACGAACCCCGTCAGGATGCTTACAAACCAGAAGTTTCCCTTCCCCTCCCGTGCGTAGATCGGGGGAACGTAGTTAGGGTCTGCCTCCTCCAAACGCTGAGGATAGGCTCCTCCGTACTTGCCGCTCATGTCCGGACCCATCGAGTATCCCCCGACTGCGCTAGCGCCCGTCTCGCAGACTGTGAAGGGGTCGAGGACGCAGCTGAGATCCCCTTCAGCACACCCTCCGTAGATCCACTTGCCCTGTAGCACGACAGGACGTTGCTCCTGCAGGCCACGGATTAGCTGAATGACGAGGTAGTTGAAAGTTGCTGCTGCGCCATGGTTGGGATATCGTGCCGGGCGAGCTCGATCACAGTTCTGTCTTGAGAACTGCAATGAATGGAGCGAATGTTGAAGGTGGGCAGCAAGTTCATCTCCTGCTGACGCTTCCGCCTTTGCATATTGGAGTACTAGGAAGGAAAGTGTCAGCGGGCACAGCGGGCGTAGAGATAGGTGGGACCTTGAGGAGAAGGGAGATAGGAAGAAGTTGAGGTTATGTCTGCCTTGCAGTCTCCCCACTCGTCAACAGAGAAGCGGTTCCCCGGGCATGGCGATTTGCCTTTCTTATGCTGCCTCAAATTTCCTTCTTCGCCTCTTGCTGTGCCTTCCCAAGTTTCCGTCTGGGTAGTGCTTGATTTGGTACTTGAGCTGGAGAGAGGGATGTTCGCTCCGAGAAATCCCGCGGGTCCGGATCCAAGCTGTACATCAGCTGACCATAGCTTAGAAAGGGCGAAATATGGCATCGAAATGTTCGTATTTCCGTTCTTGAGAAATCTCTCGAAATGATTTCCGATGAAGAAGTCGCAAAGAATGTTGAAGAAGTGTGACGATAGCGATCCAACCTGCAAAGAAGTAGGTTTAAATCATCACCGAGCAGAAGAGAAGAGTTGAACCATGTGCGATGCACGTAAACTCAGAGTAAAAGCTGCAGCAATTTGCATCAGAGCATCCTCTTCTTTAACTTGCTCCTCTTCTGTCTCCTCGTCATATGTCCTATATCTTCTCAAATGCCAAGTAGGAAACATGGAGCTCATCTCCTCGGTATCGATCTTGATGAAATACTGTTAGCAAACAAACAGAAAACACATCGATTTTTCACTGACTATCCTCAAAATCTCTGTGTCCTCGCTGACAACGATCGCGGTATCAAGTCTCCCTCCTTCTGCAGAATTTTCTCGAGCCTGCAAGTCACAATGACAAGAATTCTGACACCTTTACTCGCACCTGCTGGGCGATGAGCATAAAGCGGAGGAGACGAACGTGAGCCACGCTTAAGCAAAGCGAACATTCGATTCTCTCGCGTAGCAAGTCCCTCTTGGCATGCTGGAAAGGAGTCAGTCACTTCGTCTGTAGTATTGCCCGTTGTATTGGCTGTTACCTCAACAGACGTGTAACAAGCCGCAGGGAGTGCCGGTGGGAGCCTTTCTTCGATCCGTTGCTCCTTTGTGACGACAAACAAAGGTTGACGCTTTGTGTCTTCAGTCAGGTTTCCGTGGCAACGAGGAATAACTAGCAGCACGAATCCAGGAGGAAGATGGCTGCTTCTCCTCTTCACATTTTTCTCTAAGCTGACCTCGGGGCTCCAGAGCTTTGATAGCAGGATTGCTCTAACCGACCAATCATGTAACCACAGCGAAGACGAAGAAACTTCGTCAACAATTCTCTCCCTCGCCTGCCGGCATCCGTTCGTAAGCTCTGTAGAATTACAGTTACAAATTGATTTCATCGAAAAAAGGCGCCAAATTCGAGGAGGAATAATGCTTGTGTAGGGTTCAGAAAGTTTCTTGCAATCCGATCTGTCTTGCAAGGCCGTAACACTTCTCGAAAAAAAGTGGTTGACACAGCTGCTGACCAACTCAACAGAAGCTGCCAAACTTCCCCGGCTTTCAGAGATGCAAGGATCTTGCCCAACATCAGGAATTCTTGACTCTAGCGTGGGTAGTGTTGCTACCCTTGAATCGTTGGCAGAGAAACTTTGTGAGGAAATGACTGATTCCAAGGACTCGGTAAGGGATTTGATGAATTCACTGTTATCTTCCGTCGCCGAGTGGAAATAATACTCCCCCTCATTCCAGAAATGAGCATAGGGCACAAGATGTTCATTGTAGTCTGCGTCTTCATCACAGGACCCATCCGAATTTTGCACTTCACTCACTCCAGTTGAAAAATTCAAACATTCATAATCGGAGCTGAAAAGCGATCGGATCTTGCGAGCTGTCTTTTCATCTGGTGACTGATGAGCGAAGGAAAAGCCTTCATTCTTCTTTTCAATCATATCGGGCGAGACTGGAGGCTCAAAACCAAGCCGGGATGAGATGTAAGTCAATGCCTGAGACGAAGGTCACGACGAAGCAGAGACAGAACTTGCAAATGTATACCGTTGAAAGATTCGAGATATCAGCAATCATATCGATTCGTAAAAAGCCTTGCAAGAACGACATTTGCTCGCATACATGCTCATCCCAGCATGGATTTTGAATTGTGTAGTTGAGAAATGCTTTTAGCCCTTTAGACGATATCCTGTCGTAGAAAGAGCAAGAGTCATGAAGTTTCAGGCAAATCTGCCAAAACAAGTGAGCTTGGGATAATGTCCATTCCAACTTGACCTCATCATATGCAGAGATGAAGCGGCTAACAGGATCACGCACAAAGGCGAAGGTGAAATATGTAAGTTTCTTGTGCAGAGGGAGTTTGTCATAAGTCTGAAATGTTGGGATGGGTTACAACTGTGAAAATATATAGAATTTTCTCACCTCAGCATCTTTCCCCCCGTAATTCCAAAGCAAAACTCGCACAGTTGTTGAAGCTGCCTTGGGCACTTGGATGAAGATGAATCGATATTGATCGCTAACAACCACCTGCATCAAGTCTTCAGTTTGGGGAATCGTTAAAGATTCCCTTGCCTGTCCCCTTGAATGACGTGAAGCCATCGTGATGATGTCGTAACCTCTAGTCGTCAACCAGCGAAATGCATTATGGTGTGACGGACGACATCTGCTCACGTTGAAAGAATTGACCTGATTCCATGAAGAAACAGTGAGTCTAGTAGCGCTGCACCGGTCCACTGCAGCATCGCTCTCAAGGCCATGAGCGAATAGAATACCAGGATATGACGCGTTCAAGAAGTAATCTACACCACTTTGAACAATGTCGTATACAATCTCTTGGAAGCAGTTTGAATTATTCTCCTGGCCCCTGATCCGATCTAACTCACGGCATGACGATTTCACCAGAGCCATGATTTTACTTTGCTTGTCTACTCGAATGGTGGTATGCAAAGGCTTGATGAAGACATCGAAAGCGATACAAAAACGAATCAAACCCTCTTGGACCTCTTCTGCTAAGAGCGTAATGCTTTCTTGAAAAGGTTTAGAACGGGCAGTCAAATCCATAGCAGCGAATTGCTCGGAGTTCGCGATCGCAAGCATGCGAGGAGGACAGCACCCAGATCCCCCGGGGCAGCACCATCTTCCAGGACAGCAATTCTTTACAATCCCTTTCCGCCGTCGCCATTGCAATATTCGGCTGGACTCCCCTGACGGTCGCTGAGGGGGTACTCGGTTTCGAACCTTCTCCCCGAGCCATCGCTCGTCACTGGCTGTGCAAGCAGGAGCTGCCTGACTTCCTTTCCAGCAGCCCTTTTCCGAGTGATACTGCCAGATCTGACAGTCCTTGTCCATACAGCATGATTCAGTGCAAGCGCGAGATGTCAAAATGCTTCCGTCGATCTTCAGGCCATCACAGTGCATCCCGTCGATCCTCTGCTCGAAAGAGCACAATCCATCGGAGCTGTCTGCTGTTCCCGCTTGCGCCAACATGTTCAAGATCAGAATGCATGTGATCACCGATGGAGATCTTGTTCTCCTCGTTTCTTCAGCCTCTCCGGACCAGTGATCCCGATAAGCCATTAGTACATGCATGCTCCACATTTTTCAGCTCCTCCTCGTTGCCATGTCAACATTTCTTATCCCTCATCTCGGACGCTCATCATCATCATCATCATCGATCGGCTGTCTAGATCGCATCTCTTTCTCTCCCTCCTCTATCCCCTCAACCCGCCCTCCTCCTTCCACCTCCTCTCGCTGCCCATTTTTCGCTGTCGTACGCTCCACAAACTCCACCTGCCTTGTTATGAGCCAGTCAGCCCGGCCGGCCCGGTCCCGGCCGTCCGGCCCGGCGGGCCGGGGGCGGCAGCGCCCGGCCCGGCGGTAGTACAGTGCGGCCAAGAGTCAGGCTGAGGTGATGATTGATATGCTTGCAAAGATTTCATTATTCTACTCCTAAGGTGGAAAAGAGTAGGAGAGAATCTGTGTAATGTACACGTCGTTCCCACAGCCGGCTACTCACTGATGCGGAAGAGTTGAAGCAGCCCTCGCAGCGATGCTCTCGAGGAACGAATGTGTGCTGAGGAAGCAGGAGCCTCCCAAGATGACGCGACAGTGCCTACAGGCAGCTCAGATTTCTGTGGATCGAAGTAAACAGTGACAACCTGTTCTCGTCGTTGAACTTGGAAACCACACGAGATTCAGCGTAGGTGGCTCCTGCAAACATATCAACGGTGAATGTGAACTAAGTTGCATCTCACCTCCAACGATGTACACAATGAGCTCCGAAGGCCCTCGTTTGAAGGCTCGCATGGCGTCTACTGCCTCCTTGTACGTTGAGCACGGACGAAAAGGGTACTTGTCCTCCGGAAGTCTTCCTTTCTCCACTGATTTCAGGATCTTCTCAAGTAGAGGCTGATGCAGCATGTATGCGTTGTCCGAGCCTGCGTTGTTTGTGATGCTTTTGAACCCCTGGGACACCACAGCGTTGACCCCGCGGTTGAAGAGATCCGATTGCGGCGTTCGAGCGCCTGCTCCGCACTCCCGGAGGAGAATCTCCGGAAACTTTTGGTACGTGGGCATCAACTCCTCTGCGCCACCTTGCGATATGTAAGCACCTGCTACTTTCTCGGCTGGCAACATCCTTGCCAGCTGCTGAATGTATCCCTTCTCGCCACCCTCCTTCTGGTATCTCAGAGCATACAGCAGCACTAGCCGTAGCTTGTCAATTTGACGTACGTTGCTGTTTCCCAGCATTTCCATGACTTGCTTGTGAGCCGATTTATGATCTTGAACTGCTGCAAGCTGCTGTTCAATCTCCGACACTTCGAGAAGATTATATTGATCCACCATTTTCGCTAGAGTATGCAGGAGATTCACGTGCTTGCTGATATTGTCTTTCATCTTGCTCATCTCAGGGTATTTCTCTATTATTCGCTGCATCTCAGCGATTGTTCCAAGTTTAGCATTGTTTCCCTGCCACATTTGAGCGAACTGAGGATTATTCCTCTTCAACTCCTCAAGCTTCGCTTGCACAGCGTCATTCATCGCGCCGTAATCTGTGTGCATATTTTCCTTGAAGAAATCATCGCTGACCGCAGAGAGCACAATGCTGGTTGGATCTGCATCACTGCCAGCAGCTCGCGGTACTTCAACCAGGTTATTGCGAATCCCCAGGAGTTCATGCACCATCGCCTGGTACGTCCACTGATTCAGCAAAGGGGTCAACGGATCGTCGGTTCGGTCAAGAATCAGCAGTAATGGCGGCATGTCTTCATTCCTCCCGAAATCCAGCGTATCCTGCTGCTGATCCAGGTGCTGGCTCAGCAAGGCAGCAATGTGCTCGGCATCACGAGAGGATGCCTGGTAGCGAATCGCCGGCTTCTTCTTCAGCGCGAGGAGGAGCGCAAAGATACCATCCCGCGTTCTGTCCGCGAGGGGAGTCGACAATGCCGAATTCGGGGGGAGGTTCAGAGAAAAGCATGAGGGCGAAAGCGAGTAAAAGTCCGCATACAGCTCGCGCACTTGCTTCACCACCTCGTAGGTGTCAGCCTGTGCAAGCGTCCTGACGGCATCGTTGCTCAACACGTTGCTGAAGAACAGGTGGTATTCTCCGAACATGGGCTGCAAAAGTTCCTTTGCCAGAAGTTCGATGTTCTCTCGGGTTGGCCGCAGGAACACCAATGCTTTCAGGTGCAGCATTCGTCCCCTCCCGCCGGCATCGAGGCGCTGGAAAAGGAACACCTCTTTTTCGAGTACCTGTGACCTGCTGATGACCATGCTTACAATGGCTGTAGTCTCTTTATCCAGAAGCAGAGCCTTCATCCCTCCGACCCCTTCTGTCATCCTCGAGACATATTGCTGCACGGCATGTATCACATCCATGGCTGCCCGCAGGGGGAAGCCTTAGCTCTGGTTTACAAGGGCAGTTCTCCTGCTACGGGGGCAAACCTCTTTCTCCTCTCAGCTGCATCAAAGACTTGTCTGCACATGTAGGGTGCTCTGAAGGTCTTCATGCTCCCTCTCTCCGCCCTCTCTTCCCCTCCCCCGCTCCCGTGCCCTGCCCCACTGCATGGAGAGGAAACATCCTTCGGCAGCAGCAACGGAAAATGAAACGGCCCAATTCAGTATTCGTAACGTCAAATATAACTGAAGGTGTTTCTGTCTTTTATAACGGTCACAGAATATATATAATCATCAATAATTATATAGAATTATGTATATCACTTTTCCGGCTCCCAAGGAGCTCGCAGGGTGCTGTACGAGAGGGAAGAAAGGGAGGGCAGGAGGGGGGAAGGAAGAGAGGGAGAGAAGAAGGGGAGGAGAGCAGAGAGGAAGAGGAGAAGGGGAGGAAGAGCAGAGGCATCGAATCCCTGTCAGATCACAGGAGGACAAGCCTTCCCCCACTACCTCGTGAGTTTGAGGGCCCGCAAACATGTCCAAGCGGATTCTTGGAACTCTGTATGGGCATGCGCTGGCGGTGGGTTGGCTACAGCAGGCACTATCGTTTTCTATCTACTCGCCGGCGTTTAGAGTGATGACACGTGATAGCATGCCATCTATCCGTCAGATGTCGATGAAAGATGCAGGCTACAATTTCGAAGATTACCGCGAGAAGCGTTCCACATTCGAACCCACTGCAAGGAAACTCAGCCATGCGCCCTCGGCACAGCCAGTGTGGCCGAATTACTATTCGTGCCCCTCTCTTCAGAGAGAATCTCGTGAGAGATTGTCTGACGAAGAGAGCTTCAGAAACTCCATGATGGAGCCGAATTCACGCTTTATCCTCGTCTGGAGAGGAAAGAACCTCTTCAGGAAGCAAAGTGAGATCGAAGACTTCTTTGAGCCCGTCTTCTTGAACTTCGGGGACGTGAAGTCTCTCGCCATGAACGATGATGTTGTCAAGATGTACATTGGCGATCTGGAGAACATCCGCTACTTCGCCTTGGACGTGAGCACCCTGGAGCCGGAGGGCATCGCGGCACCCGAAGGTAGCTACTTCGAGCAGCTGAGAACAGCTGGGGGCCTTCTTGAGAGAGACGAGGATGCTGGCTTGTTAGCCACAGCCCGCGGCCTCTCAGTTTGGCATCGAAGCGTCTCCTTCTGCTCGAACTGTGGCAGCGGAAAAGTTCGACCAGACAAGGCTGGAAGCATGCGTCGATGCTCGGAGTGCAAGAGCGGGTTCTACCCTCGGATCGATCCCTCAGTCATCGTCCTGGTAAGCAGCTCCTGTGGCAAGCATGCGCTGCTCGGGAGGAAGGCAGTCTGGCCAACAGGGAGGTACAGCGTGCTGGCAGGCTTCACCGAGGTAGGGGAGAGCCTTGAGGAAACGGTGGTGCGAGAGGTGTGGGAAGAGTCGGGCGTGAGGGTCGACCCTCAGTCGATCCGCTTCTTCTCCAGTCAGAGTTGGCCGTTCCCGGTAGAGCCGCTTGTGGTGACGTGGCCTGTCCCTTGCTGACATGCCGGCAGCGATCGCTCATGATCGCTTTCACTGCGAGGGCCATGGAGGTTGCGGACGGGAAACTTCCAGCGATCGACGTCGACGAGAACGAGATGGACGACGGTGAGTCCTCCTCCTCCTCCTCCACCACCACCACCACCACCACCACGAACACGACCACCACCCCAATCCCCCCCCACCCTCCTCCTCCTCCTCCTCCTCCTCCTCCTCCTCCCACTCTCGCCCTCCCCAGCTCTCACATTTGAATCTTCGTGTCAGTGAAATGGTTCTCGCGGGAGGACATCGAGAGCGGGCTTTCCGCACACAAGTTGAGCATCCCCGGACGAGCAGCCGTAGCGCACTCACTCATCATGGACTGGATGCGGAGGGAGCGAGGAGACTGAGTGCCAGTACGAAGCAATCTGCTACCATGTTGCAATCTAGTCATGTTTGCAGTTCTTGCTATCATGTATACAGCATGCTACAAGGCATTTGCTCCTTCCTGTCCATAGAAAGTCGTCGTCGTCTACCCATCACTTGAATGTTCTCATCATATCACCTTTACCTTCAGTAGAATACATCCCTTCAACTGGGATCCAGAATGTGTTCTTTCAGACTGTGGTACAAGCTTTCTGACAACTTGTAGCACAACAGTCACTGGCTGCTCTTAAACTTGTTGTGCAACCTTGCTGTGCTTGTAACTGTTCCCTTGTGATCTCGTTCGTTCTCTTCTCTGATTTTCGCATTTCGTTTTCCCCTGATTAAAAGTTAGTCTCCCCTTACCGTCGGTCAATTTCCGTTCTGGACCTACACGCCTGCCTGCCCCCTCACCTGCACACCAGCCCTTACACCCTCCTAGCACCCCGTCGCTCCTCTCGCGTCCTCCTGTCTTCTTCCTTCCTCCTGTCTTCCTCTTCCACTCTTCTTGCTACTTCTTCTCTCCTCCTCTCCAACCTCCTCCCTCCCCCTCATACCTCCTTCTGTGCTCTTCGAACCCTCTCACTCTTTCCTTTCTCCACCCTCCAGCCGAGGATGTGGAACCTCTCCTCTCTCCTCGAGCCCTTCAGCAAGGCAGAAGCCCATGTGCCCACCATGGTGAGCGAAGACGAACCGCCAGAGAGCGAGGTTTGGCGGGTGAAGATCGAGAGCGTCAAGGACACGATAGTATCCTGGGCATTCGGGGAGCAAACGAGCGCACAGAAAGTCTGCTCTGGGCAATCGGGATGGTATGGGCCGGTGATCCAGCCAGCCACGGGGAAGAGGGAGGAGGAGAAGAGGAGGAGGGAGGAGGGGGGACAGGCTGAGTGCATGCCGAGGCTACCGGGCCATGATGAGTTCTCGAGGCTCGACGAGGCCAGGTGAGTCAACGGTCGCCTGCTAGGAGCCTTGCTGACCTCGAGCAGCTGGAAGCTGATCCACGCGCTGCGGCAGCAGCAGGAGGAGAAGGAGGAATGGCCGCCGCGGCGAGTGACGGCAGCAGCAATGCAGGTGCTCAAGGAGAGGAAAGGGAAACCCGTGGCTCGAGGTGAGGGGAGGAGCGAAGTTGTTTCCTGCTGACGTTTTCTTGCAGGGGGAACGAGGAAAACAACGACAGAGGTGCTGCCTCCACCACACGCGCCTCCTCCTGCTTCCGTCGAACCAGAACAAGAGGCGAGCTGCTCGAAGGAGGAAGAGGAACCGGTGGAGGTTGAGGAAGGGAAGCATGAAGGTTTCCTCACACCTCCTGGAAGCAAAAGGGAGGAGGTGGAAGACGACGAGGAGGCTCTCTATGCCTGGATACCGCAGAGGAACAGTGTGAAGCTGCTGAAGCAAGCGAAGCTTGTGACGAAGGTGATTCAGAACATGGGGTCGGTGGATGAGGACAGCGAGCTCGGCCACTCCTTTGACATAGGAGGAGGAGGAGGAGAAGGAGGAGGAGGAGGAAGCCATCATACAAGCGTGGAGTCGGACGAGGAGGAGGACAGGTTTGTGCCTGAGAGGTGGGAGAAGTTCCAACACCTGATCCCTCGGACTACATGAAACGAAGCGAGTGTGTGAAGTGCTGCTGCTGCTTCTCTTACTTTCCCTGATCATATCGCATACGCAATCACTGCCGTGAATACTCGCACGCCTCCTATGCCTGGCGGAACCACCAGGGTGAAGGAGAGCGACTTTGACTGCATTAGCTGGTCCAGGATCCTCTTGGGGACCCGCACGTTGTCCACGAAGCCCTTGCTGGAGTCGTACTGGGCGTAGTCATCGTTGAAGAGGAGGCCAATCTTCTCCCCCATGTCCCCTGCCAGGCCCGTCAGCTCCTCCTCCTCCCCCCGCCCCTTATGCCTCTCTTACCGGCATGCACGCTGATGGCGGAGAGGAAGGGAAGGTTGTGGGCCTCTGCCGGCAAGTCTCCTCGGGGGTCCCTCACGTCGTTGAGCGCTTCCTCGTAGAACGCTCCCGTCGAGGTTCTGAGGACCCTCGGAGCTTGATCCGGCAGCCCCTGCGTATCCCGCACGTGCTGCACATGGTACTGGATCTCTGCATGGAGCCACAGGAAGCCGTCTGCTGCCGCAGCTGGGAAGGCTCCTGGGAACTCGATGAGAGACTGGGAGGGGCGACTGAGACGGGCCCCGAAGATCTGACCGTCCCTGGCCGTGAGGGTGCGCAGGTAGCAGCTGAGAAGAGAGTAGGAGAGCATGACCGGGCTGAGCTTCGCCCGAGGAGTGTTGAGCACGCGGAAGATGAAATTCGCCTGGCGGTCGCTGGACATGCTCAGCAGGTCCTGTCGGTCGATGCGCACTGCTGTTGTGTGGCGGGGCGAGCGGGTCTGCCTGACGTCCACGAAGGAGTTGGGGCTGCAGAAGTTGGAGTTGTCGCACTGGACACCGATGTCTGCAGGCTCCGAAAGGGCGTACCTCCTCACCCCCTGCCCCCACACCCACCCGTCGAAGAGCTTCTTCACCGTATTGTTGTAGGAGAGGGTTAGGAAGCCTTCCTCCAGGTAGCCATCTACGATGAGGGACAAGACCCCGTCGCTCGTGGGCGCCTGCTGGGCCTTCTGAGGCAGCTGGAACGTTACGTTGAGCTCCTTATACTGGGCGACGGTGGTGTCTGCCTCACTGTAGAAGAACTCGTCGGTAGCGAACTTGGAGGAGAAGAATGTGGAGGGGGCGAAGGAAAGCTTCATGTAGCGGAAGCGGATCTCCCCATCCCTCCCCTTGAAGCTTCGCAGTCAGCAACTGAATCTTTAGCAGGATCGAGGAAGGCTCACCGGCTGGCTTTTGAGCTTGAAGTTGAACTCGCGGTCTGCCGTCATCTCCAGCATCTTCTCCTGGGAGATGGTGATGCTGTCCGAGATCGGCCCTCCCCTCTGCGCATTCTTCTCGAACTCCCCGTCCTCAAACACAGTCCCCAAGAACTCGTTCTGCAGCAAGAGGGTGAGAGGAACAGACCAGGAGGAGACGGCAGGTCACGTTGGGTCCCATCAGAGTCAGGTTGTTCCCCTTCCACAGTAGGTCGTCAAAGCCCCGTCCCTCCGCTGCTATCGTCAACGTGGCGACGCTGCAAGGCGGTCTGATGAGAACCGCGGCGGCCTGATGCAAAGCAGAATGCGGCTACCTGGATATGTGCGGTACCGAGCGGAACGAGAATGTCTTCTCGAACGGCAGCCGGATCCATGGAGCAGGGGGGTTGTCGCCGACAAGCTGGTCGCAGAAGTAGTTCCTCCCTGCCGAATCCATATCACGATCGACCCAGGACATCTGTGTGACGCACCTGCCAGCGCCGCATCCACCCGAGCCGACTGATCGTCCATCATGATCGAGTAAGTGCTGAAAACAAGTACAATGAGTGTCCTCGTAGAAACTAACCTCCCAGCATGCAACCTCTTTCCCGCCTGGAGAAGGTTGAAGTTGCCATTTGCTACTTTGGCCACGTGGGTGTAGGAAGTGAGGTATGATGCTCCTGCTGCAATCTCGTCGGTATTTCCTGCATCATGCCGTCATCCTGCCGCTGCGTCTCCGACGCGACCGCTCACCGAGTTGGTTGCGGAAGTCTTGATGTGCAGACCCTGACACAGCAAGAGTTGCACGTCGGTTAGCTCCATCATAAGCGACGATCTGAGCAGACTGCAAGCCAAGTCACACCAAACACTACTCAAGCCCACTGTCTTCCTCATCGTCACACCTTTCCAGAGTTCGCAAAGGAGGCGCTTGTGAAGTAAATCGTCTCCCCTGTGAGGATTTCATCCTGTGCAGGGGCCGTTGAATCCAAAGTCACGGAGCAGACACACAATCCCCGCGCACACGAGGAAGAGTTTGAGCAGATGAAGTTGCTGGAGTGAGTTTGAGAGCTGGCAGGGCAGCTGCAAGACAGCGCTGAAGCCACTTGTCCTCCGAGAGACCTGCCAAGGTCGATCCCCAACGCGTCATTCTTCATGACGTGCAGTGGAGTAGGCGTGATCCCGTATGTATCTCCTATAGCTGGGAGAGTTGACAGCGAGCTGGCAAGGACCACCTCCTTCGTCGCTGCTGTGTACTGCAGGATGCTCGCTATCAACCCCTTGGCGTTTCCACTCGTGATCACGATCGTCATGCCTGCAACGAGGGGAAGCAAGTGTCAGACTCTCGTCAGGATCGCGCGAGAATTCCAGCAAGTGCCTCACCTTCGTAGTATCCGTCCACTTCGCTTGCCCACATACCCAACACCAACGACTTCGCGCTCACCCTCGACAGGATCCCAGCAGTGTGGTCCCCCACGTGGGCCCTGAGGTCGAAATTCCGACAGCCAGCCCCGGTCTCAGCTCCGCCACCCAGACTGATGGTGATCCGAGGCAGGCTCGAGTATCCGCTGCCGCTCTTGATCACCGAGACCGAGCTCATGTGGCCGGACGGCACCGGCCGCAGGTCGAAGCTGACGCACGTTGTGTAGACCTCGGGGACCAGGGAGATGCTCCCGCTGTACCCCGACCCTCCGTCTTTGACGAGCACGTGAGTGATCGCTCCAGAGGTAGTCCCGATGAATGCCTCGAAACCGTAGCCTCCTTCAGACCCCACCGCTGTCAACCTGCCCTCCGGACACTTCAAGACTGGCGGATGCCCTGCGCTGTACGCGTTCCCACCCTGCTGGATCACGACTTGATAGACGTTGCCACCGCTTGCATAGCAAGTCCCAGCGAATCCGCTGCCAGTACACGGAGGCTCACAGACGGCGATGGCACTTCCTGTGATGTAAGCTGTACCTCCAGAGTTCATGACCGTCACGTTAGTTATCTGACCCTGTCTTATCTCCAACCCAAAGTTCTGTAGCGTTCCAGAGCAACCGATGCCTCCATTGAATATCTCAACCTCGGGAATGCTGTACAACACCTTCACGACAACAAGGTCAGTTCGGCGCACAACGTAGTGCAGAGAGACACAACTTACATCAAAGGAAGCCTCGAATCCGCTCCCACCACCACCGTAGGCTGACAAGTATCCCCGCGTCTGGCAGCCTTCACCAGGATTGACGATCTCTACGCTCGTCACCCCGCTGCTGACCTCCCAGTCCAACTTTCCCACGTAGTGCACAACTGTGCCTGAATGCCCATGACCGGGCCCGCCCGTGATATTCAAACTTCGGCCGACGTAATAATCCTGGCGATTTGAGGAGGAGAGAGGATCGAGCTTGAAGACTTGGTACGGAGAAGAAGAGTCCACGGCTTGTAGCACTCCGCTGGTAATTTCTTCCCACTTATGGCAAGGCAGCCCAGGATTGTTGAACGTAATCTCGAATCTCTCAGAACTTTCACAGGTCCGAGAGCCCAGCCAAAGAGATGACATGATGTCTGGTTTACTGTTCTCATCACCTGCCATGTACCCCTGCGTTACTTTCAACGATCTCAGCTGTGCTTGTTCTGAGCCAGCGTAGTAACCGCCTCGGATCTGTATTCCCACCAGGTTGTTCAGGCAGAAGATAAAGTCTTGTGCAGTGACGTTGGGCACGACCTTACTTGATCTACCTTTCCTGTAAAACATCCATCCCGACTTCTCGTTTAGCTGCACAATGTAATTCTTTGATGTTTCACCGTCCTTTTTCATGCCTTTCAACCCTAAGGACAGACTCTTCCGACTGGCCACAAGCACCACGTCATAATCCTCCTTGTAGCTGCCTGTCCACGAAATGGTTTGCAGGAAGACCTCCAGGGTCCCATTGTAAATGATTGCCTTGTCTCCCTCCAGCCATCCCCGCGGCGTTTCAAAGTACCAGCTTCTATCTCCATCATCGCTCGCACGGACAAGGTTTTGCCGCGTATCTACCTCCATCCCTCCCCCTCCGTTGTCTCCGGACATGGTCCACCCTTCTCGCCTGAAGTCGGAGCTTCTTACTAAGTCTCCCGCCTTGCCCTCTGCCTCTCCCGCCATCGCCACCATCACGGCCACCACCAACAATGTCACCCGCCCCGCCATTCCGTTAACCCAATGACCCGATTGTCGGGTAGGGTAGGGGTGGAAACATCGAGGGGTGACAACCGAAGAGCAAGGATAGTTCTGGTCGTATCGGGGGTACTTTCATGTTAAATGAGGGGGTGATTTTATCTTCAATGGGGTATCCCCTGCTCGAGGGGTTCTGAACTAGGCAGAGAGGGGTGGGAGCAGGGGGTGCTGGATAAGAGACCCGTTGATGGGCCTAGTCAAGTGCAAGGAGGGGAGAAGGGTCAAGAGGAGGGGTAGTCAGAAGCACTGTTCGGGGGGTGGTGGGCGGCGAGAGCTCCAGTCTCCCACGTCGTTTGACATGGCGAGTCAAGCAAAGATGGCGTTGATGCTGGTGATGCTGGAGGCGATGGCGTCAACTGCATGCCGTCCTGGCATGTTCTCTTCACCTGACTTGTCATGCGCACTTTGTCCTGCTGGCAAATATAAATGGCAAGAGTCGACTGAAGTCCCTGATCCTTTTCCCTGTCTGGATTGCTATGTTGGCGAATGGTCAATGCCAGGCTCATCTACGTGCTTGTGCAATGTTGGTTATGAGGGATCTGCGGGAGGACCTTCTTACAGTCAGTGCACCGCTTGCTCGCATGGCTACTTCAAGGATTGGTTGGGAAATGATAACTGCAAACCATGTACTCCACACGAAGACATAAGCTCTTGCATAATTGGATTTTATCCTCATTCCTGCAATGCTTCCACAGATACATTTTGTTCTCCTTGCAGCAATCAAATACCCGAAAACAGTGTATATCACGCACCTGGAGGCCTTGACTCTAATGACTGCACGTTTGCGTGCAATACGGGATTCCAATACAATTCAGAAGGCGTGAATTGCACTCTCTGCCCAGCAGGAAAATACAGAAGTAGCTTGGAGATGGCTCGCTGTGAAGATTGTCCAACAGGAACATATTCCACCGATGGGCAAACTGCTTGTCAAGGATGCACTGTATGTCCAGCCGGCAAGACAAGCAACAACGGCTGTGCAGGTGGGGCGAGCGTCGACAACGATTGCAGCACTTGTCAATCCAACACCTACTCAGAGGAAGGGCATACATCGACATGTACAGCCTGCGACGCTAATGCAAGGTCGCAAGCGAACAGCACCAGTCCTTTCGATTGTCGCTGCATTGCAGGGTTTGTCAGGACAGATAAGTATGTACCCGACTCTGGCGGCATGCGCTTCCAACGATCCTGCACTCCCTGCCCGATCAACACTTGGGCAGACGATACGTTCTCTGTGTGCGTCAGCTGTCCAGCTCACTCCAGCTCTGCACCAGAGAGCAAGCACTCCGAACAGTGTGTCTGCGACGAGGGATATACTAGGCAGGGTCAACAGTGTGTGCCTGTACAGTGATGGGACAGGTCACTGAGCAACGGGCCAGTATGCATGGACCATGGAAGTTTGACAGAGGTATGGTCACGCCTGCCTCTCTCCAGCGGCTGCACTGCTAGAGCAGGAGCAAGCTGTTTGTCCTGTAAGTTTTCATCTGTAAATAGTGCTCTTTTCTTTTGATTCAACAAGATCTTATTGCTAAAAGTCTTGGCTCGTGGACGTCATCGGCGTGAGCTTCATCGGACTGGTGCTATGTCTGTTTCTCCACCCGGGGTATCCGGTCAGAGGAAGACCGACCTGCACGTCTTGGATGGCTGCGTAGGTGCTCTTAGAGCTCTGCTTGCTGACCGGCCGAAAGATGGTACGCTTGTGTGAGGTGATGGGGTGATTTCCAAACGAGGTGGTGCTGCTTTCCGAGAGAACAGATCTGCTGCACGCCAATCTCCTTGAGAACTCTATGGTCGGAAGCTCAGCAGCCTTGATGTTGTGGACGACGTTGAGAAGAAAGACATCTTTCGGTCTGACCTCTCCGCCCACGTACTCTATGACTCCTGGCTGATTGAGGTCCTTGAAATTAGAAAAGAGCGATCTGTTCCCACCCCATGCTCCACCCCATGATCGAGAGGGACCATACGGCCTTGGCGCTGCGCTGATCCACTCCTTATCCCTGATGCCTTTTAAGCGCCATCTGACACGTTGTTCTCTGCTCGGATCTAAACTGTTGTCTTGCTCGAAGTAAAAGATGTTGTCATCGACTGGATCCTGGCCAAGGTATATGAAGGGAGTTTTCACATAACAGAGGTTCTCTTCTTCCATTTGATCTCTGTATGCCGAGATCGGACTGGTATCATCACAGGACTTCCTTCTCCCCCTTAGCAGTGCGTCTATAGCTCCATCATGCAATCTCTCCAGATCGTTCAAGGAATTTCTATCCCGCCTTCCACCAGACATTCCAAGTTTGCTTCTCTCGATGCTAACCCTCCTAGAAGACCGCTGTGCGGACAAATACTTCTGAATGAGATAGTTCACTGCTTCCTGCGAGGTCCTCGCTAATTCGTCTTCAACGCGAATGTATCTCTCCTCCTCCTCACTGTACCTGATCCCAAACAGGTTCACAACGAGCTCATTCGGAACTTCATAGCTCCACTCGGAAAGCTCTCCACTGACGACAGACTCAACTCTCCTCGACTCTACCGATGCAGTCTTCAAGTTGAGAAACTTTGGGGCGTTTGTTGTGCTCTTTTTCGGGCTGGTGGGCGGAGATGACCTAAAGGAGAGTGTCTTCCAGGAGGGTTTCGGGGACCCCAGGCTGTATTCGAACACGATGGGCGCTCTTGGGGAAGAACTGGTGCTGGGCAACGAGGAGGAGGCTGCTGTAGACACTCTTCTTTTTCTCCGCAGGGTCGTGCATGATGGGGTGCACACGTAGCGCAACGGCGGCACCTGCACCATTGCTATGCATGGACGCCAGGGGGGAGAACACGGTCAGGCCAGTAAAAGCTTGGATCATTAGTTGTACTATCAATTATACTCATTTCTTGGGTGGTACTACTGATACGGGATCAGTAACGGCTCACCTTTATTATCTCTATAGTAATCTCCAGTTCCAGTAGTGAACTTTAGTACTGTTGGGGCTGAAAGGTATAAAAATATCGCAAACAGGTACCAAACCAAAAGATAATTTTCAACTTTTAGCGAGGCGGCCCGACTCTTTTAGAGTGGCACCTAGCTCCTCTAGGACCTTGGTCCTATCGAGAGTCAGCCTAGTACTGCTAGTACTACTAGGCTACCAGTACTGGATCACAGTTGGGCCCGGCCCGGATGAGGCCCGGAAACTCAGCACACGGTGGGGATGAGTAGGGGGATGAGGGACACTCTAGGAACTTGGGAGTGCGCGGGGATGTGGCCGATGACAAGAGACTGCTGGTTTCAGTTGCTCACATTCAGGTTGCTTTGGTTTCTGTGCAGAGATGACGAGCATGGCGCGAAGACTTGGAATGTTGTGTAGATGAGAGGTCAGGATCGCCAGCCACATCCCTCGTCGATCCAGTGAGAAGAGGGGAGCATGGCAGACGAGAGCAAAGGAAGCTTCGAGAGAGTGGAAGGAGCAACATGGAGCATCAGATTGGAAGGGATTTTTATGTGGAGGGAGAACATGACGATGAGAGCAAGGCATCTCGCTGATGCGATGAATTAATATGAGCACTAGTGCTTGTGCCGTGATGTAATCCTTGACGTTTGAACAGGGATATCAACCCTTGAATCCTCATGGACCAGCAAGCGTACGAAGCAGTGAAAAAGAATGATCATCGGAGACTAGCGAGTAGATTGAGGTGGGCAAGCAAGCACAAATGCTGCTAGTTTACAATTATGGCAGGGAGCTTGGAGGCGAGGTCAGCAATGTGGTTGCAGCCTTTAATGGTGCCGGTTTGACGTTGTTGCATGTGGCATGTTTCCAGGGCAGGTACAGCCATGCATGGAGGAGTTGTTGGCTTCCCCTGATGCTTGTCCTTCATGCAGCCTTGAGTGCGTCAGAGCTCTGCTCGAGATAGGCAGAGCGAATGCCCACGGGCAGGCAAAGGTGCTGTCAACAGATGCTGCCGGGCATGGTTGACCTGGTCGCAGGTGTGCAAGTCTACCCCATTGCACCTTGCAGCGCTCTCTGGGAATGTGGAGCTGGTGAAGCTGCTGCTGCAGTACCAGACCCGAGTGAACCAGCAGAACTCGGCGGGGAAGAGCCCTCTGCACTTCGCAGCGGTCGGGGGGCATCTGGAGATCATTCGCATCCTCTTGTCGGCCGGGGCTTGCCTGGAGACGAGGGACGATCAAGGGAGGAACGCGCATGACTACGCGGTCGAGAAGGGACAGCAGGCTGCTGCTGCTGCCCTGGAGGTTAGGAAAGCTCGGCAGGCGGTGGATGCAGAGCTGGAGCCAGAGGGCACGGAGATCATGCTGACGTTTGAGAAGTTGGAGACGCAAGAGATCGAGGCCAAGGCGAGGAGGGATGAAGCCTACAACAACATGAGGAAGAACCTCGACAAGATCAAGATAGGCAAGGAGCCCGACAGGGACGCCGGCAGAGGCATCTGGGTGCCGCTGGACGACAACAGGAAGAAGAAAGCTGGCAAGCCTCCCGCGATCCGGCGGGGGGAGGGGGGCGGGCAACCTGACGACGACAGGAGGAACGAGCGTCAGAGACGAAACGGGCGGGTGAACCCGGATCCCCTGAGGCCCGCGGGAGAGGTCAGGGACAACGGGGAGGCAGAGGACTCGGACTCGGGGGGTCAGAGCCCTCCGGACTTTAAGGAGTACATGGAGAAGCAGCTCGAGGGGATCATAGGGATGGAGGGCATGAAGAACATGCTGCGATCCTTGTGCAGGAAGGTTGCGGTGGACCAGCGCCGAGCAAAGTGAGTCGTGATTTGGATGATTTGTGCCCGCTCCCTCCCCGTCTCCTGCCTCCTTGCTGCCTCACTCCGATCCCTTCCTCTTCCCGTCCGTCCCCCTCTTTCCTTTGTCCTCTTTCCTTCTCCCCTCTCCCTCTCCCTCTCCCTCTCCCTCTCCCTCTCCCTCTCCTCTCTCACCCCGCTCCTCCGTTCTCTCGCACGATGCCTTTGAAATTCTGGTTTTCATCCGTCGGTCACTCTGTTGCTTTTAGGTTCGGCTTTCAGAATGAGCAGAACTTGAACATGCTCTTCCTGGGAGCAGCAGGGACTGGCAAGACGTCGATGGCTCGTGCAGTCGCGAAGATCCTCCGGCATATGGGGATCCTTGAGAAGGTGAAGAGTGAGGAGGCAGAGGCGGAAGGAGGAGGGAGGGAGGAGGTGGAGAAGGTGAACGAAAGGAGAAAGGAGGGAGGGATGAAGGAGGAGGAGAGGTGAAGAAGGGGAGGGAGGAAGGAGGAGGGGGCAGGAGAACGGCATCATCAATCCATTCCTCGCAGGGCCACCTGGTTGAAGTCTGTAGGAAGGACCTGGTGGCCGAATACAGCGGGCAGAGCGCAGGTGAAGAAGGGAGGGAGTAGCCTTGCTGCCTGACGTTGGACCAGCTCGGACGGCTGCCAAGGTGAAGGAGGCGCTGGGGGGGGTGCTCTTCATCGACGAGGCGTACTCGCTGAAGCACGAGGAGGGCAAAGACAGCTTCGGGCAGGAGGTGTCGGCGGCCCTCCGGCTGCGCTGCTGTGCTCAATGGCGTGCAGGTGGTGGACACCCTCGTCTCCGAGATGGAGAACAACCGCAAGAGGCTCGTGGTCATCATGGCTGGGTCCGCTCCTCCTCCTCTCCTTCCACCTCCTTCCCCTCCCCGCTCGTCCTTGGATGCTTCCTGATTCCCACTGCTCCTGCTCCATCTCCTGCTCCTGCTCCTCCTTCTCCTCCTCCTACCTCCGCACTTGCCCCAACGAACTTCTTCTCGCATCCTGACACTGGCTGCAGCTACACCAGGGAGATGGCGGACTTCATGCGCAGCAACTCCGGGCTGGAGTCGCGCTTTCCCCTCTCCTTCGAGTTCCCCAACTACAGCTACAGCGAGATGGCGCAGATCTTCCGCGTCATGGCGCGGGCGAGGAAGCTGCACGTGGCGGTGGAGGAGGAGAAGCTGGTGGAGCTGATAACTTCCTGCATCCCCCGAAGCGTCGCAAGCAAGGGCAACGCAAGGTGGCGCCCTCGTCCCTCCCTACTCTCCTTCCGTCCCTCCGTTCCCCCGTCCCTTCCTCCTTCTCTTTCACCCCTCGCTCTCACCTTTCTCTGCCTCTGTCTCCCTCCCTCCCTCCCTCCCTCCCTGCCTCTGTCTCCCTCCCTTCCCTCCCTTCCCTTCCTCCCTCCCTCCCTCCCTCCCTCCCTCCCTCCTCAGACTGGCGCAGGGCGGTCAGGAACCTGCTGGACAAAGTTCTGTCCCGGCAGACAGATCGGGTGGCAGACAGCGGGACAAGCTCGATGGACTCGCTCCTGACGCTGGTGGAGAAGGACTTCCCAACCTCGTCCTCAGCAGGAGGAGCAGACGGGAGCGAGGAGGGGTCGACGAGCGACAACGGGGGGTTGAGCCCAGGGGGGCTCGAGGACATCCTGAAGCAGCTGGATGAGATTGTGGGAGTGGTCGAGGTGCGGGGAGGAGGGGAGGGAGGGAGGGAGGGAAGGGAGGGGAAGGAAGACCCTCTCTGACTGCTCCTGCTAGGTCAAGCAGATCTTCCGGAGCCTGCGAGCGAAGGTCACCATCGCTGCGGAGAGGAGGAGCCTCGGGCTGCCCGCAGACGGCGCATCCTCGTTGCACATGGTGAGCTGAGGAGAGGAGAGGGATGCTCCTGACGGCTCGTTCCTCCTCCCAAGATCTTCCAAGGGAACCCAGGGACAGGCAAGACAACTGTAGCTCGTCTGATGGGGAAGATGTTTAAGGTGAGGTTGGAGAAGGAAGGGAATGAAGTGGAGCAGGAGGAGCAGGTGCAGGAGCGGAGAGGAGAGAAGCAGGAGAGTAAGGGAGAATTCAGGAAATGATGGAGGAGAGGAGAGGGGAGGAGATATGGAGGAGAGGAGAGGGGAGGGGAGGGGAGGGGAGGAGGAGGGGGAGGGGAGGAGGAGGGGGAGGGGAGGGGAGGGGAGGGGAGGGGAGGAGGAGGGGGAGGGGAGGAGG